AAGGCAAAAGGGGGTCCAATCCGTTACTAGCATGGGGTACCTAATAAAGTGGCCGGTGAGTGTACATGAGGTTATATAAAAAAAACCTCATCACATAGCAAAAGCCAACACAGATACCCTATAGGAACGTTGAGGAGGGTGAGAGGTGCGTATTTCATATCAGAGCTGTGTGTGTGCAAAGTAAGTCCATGAAGCCGTGGGTCAATGTCCTTGACAGACGTAACAGTTCATCATCCGACCAACAAGGGAACTTCACAGATGTCTTTTTAGGATGGAGCGGGGCAGGGGGCAGGGCCTCATATTTACATCTCATCCCAGGAGAGTTGCTTAGATAAAGGCCTCTCAAGGCCAATGGGGAGCCGAATATCCGATAGAAGCTAATTGTTTGGGTCAGGCTGGCTGTTAATTTTTTTCTGCAAGCCTTCAGAGTTTTTGCAAACAGCAAAACTCTTAACACCTGTTTGCAGTTCATTTGTTTCAGTTTACAACCATGTTTTTTTTATTTCAATTTACAAAATGTGTCCACAATGTGTCCTTTTTTTTTATTTTTCCTACTTGCTTTGATTCTGTTTTATCTTCCTGTATTTTAATCATGTAAAGCACTTTGCATTGTCTTTGTACTGAATTGTGCTATACAAATAAATTTGCCTTGCCTTGCCTTGCTTGAAGCAATACATTAATGTGGTTCATCTCTTTGAGGCCTGTATATTTCATTCCTTTCCCCTGTAAATAGATAACTAACCACAATAATCAAACTCATGAGTATAATTCTTGTATTTATCAAATTTATGTTGATAAATGGAAGAAAATGTATGACAGGAACTCTACATATTGGATAGAAAATGCCTTTATTTGTCCCACAATGGGGAAATTGTGGATTAATAATCTTTGTCTCTTACAATATTCTTTGTGTGTTCTACAGTGCATGGAAAGTGGTCCTCATGGATGAGCTGGGGGCCCTGCAGTGTATCTTGTGGTGGTGGTAGCAGACAGCGGACACGCCTCTGTGCAAGCCCTGCTCCTCAGCATGGCGGCAGAAAATGCGAGGGCAATGATGTGCACACTGATTTCTGTAATGGTGACCCATGTCCCAGTGAGTTTGGAGTGATATGAATACGGCACTCCCTATGTGGCCGATCTCTTCCTCTGCTTAATTTGTGTATCTCTGACACTTTTTTCACCACTCTGTCAGTCAATGGTAACTGGGGACAGTGGAGTAACTGGGGCAGCTGCAGCAAGACATGTAATGGAGGTCAGAGGAGGCGCTACAGGACCTGTGATAACCCTAGACCTGCTTACGGTGGAAGGGCTTGTCCAGGAGCTGATTCAGAGATGCAGAAATGTAGCACTGTTGACTGCCCGGGTGAGTCAGCATGTTAATGATATGCTAGTCTAGGGATCATAGAAAAACAAGTTCTTAAATGCCATGAAACCATTGCTTTTTCATTACTGCAGCGGATGGTAACTGGGGGTCATGGCAGCCATGGGGCAGCTGCTCCGCTTCCTGTGGAGGAGGAGAAAGGACACGTGTCCGACTTTGCAATAGCCCATCTCCTAGTAACGGTGGTCGGCCTTGTCCAGGGGACCCCACTCAGGTATCCAGGTGCAACAATCAGGCGTGCCCAGGTAACGACTTGATCTAAAACATGTTAATATGCTGTATATCTTAATCAAATTAGAATATTCAGTTCAATGATATATGATCATATTTCAAACTTAAATACTGATGCCATTTTCACAATTGATTTGAAAAAAAGTTTTCCAAAAAGAGGAATAAAAGATAAAATAAATAAGTCCTTTGATCATACGAAATTAATGTAGTGGCACAACAAATTCTGGAAATACTGAACATATTTCATACTTGGAAGACAAAAACCTTTTTTACTTACGATGACTGTGAGGCATCTGCCATAAAGAGAGAATAGTTGCCTATATTATATAGGTTTTACTAATTCGCTAAATCTTGAAGGTTCTAGAGGTCTTTTCCATGCATTCGGATTTTCAGTTGTCATTAAAAAGCATATTCCATCCATCAGAATCATACAATGAATGATTCATTAAAAATCTTCCTCACTGAATTTTCTAGATGCCATCTTTGAATGAGACTTAGCAAGCATTTTATGTAAAGAACTGTACTTGTTAATTCCAGGTATTTCAGAAGCTTTTTTCTTTGTGATCACCTCTTTCCAGGAGATTCAGTTTAGTTTTGTTTGCCTATTTTTAAAACCCCTTGACGCCTAAATTAATATACATGTACTGTATATCTATATATAAAAAAGAATTATCTTTTTACAAGTAGCTGTAGTAGTTGCCAATTGAACATTTTTGTTAGATTTATTTTAAAAATAAATACAAATGCATGTATATTCCACATTTATGAACACATTTATAATTATCATTGATAACATACACCGTTAGGAACCAGTTGTAATGGAAACAAGAGCTTACCAAAGGTGCCTAGGTCCACACCAAATATGTAATAACTGCCATTGGGGGAATACACAGGCCATCTTGGCTGTGTGCGTAATACAGAGGGTTTGTTGCATATTTGCAACAATGGGCGTCAAAGGATTAAAATCCTAAACCAACTGGCTGCAGCACCAGCAGTGTTCACAGGAACATTTGGAGGGTCAGAAATGCATTCACTCATCAGTAACAGGGATAAAAGTTTTAGAAAAGCTTTGCTTTAAATAGTTAATTAAAAGCCTCTTTTGTGTTGCCTAAATAATATGGAACTCATTCTGGGCCTTCAATAAGGACTAAATCAGACAATATTTCCAAATACTCGAGTAGTTTTCAGAATTTGAGTCTTGAGTCACATAAGTTGAGTTATTAATTGAAATTTACTCATCCAGTATTTGCAAACACAGACCATCTCTTTGACTTTCCACTCTGTACATCGGTGTGCGTGAGCTGTAGTACAGCCAATCAACTTGACCAGAATAAGAAAAGAAACAAACAAACATCTATGCTCCAAAGAGTACATGTTTATGGGGCACAAACACTTCAAAGTATTCATCAAAAATTGAAATATAATATGCAAAACATGAAGGCTTTCTTTTGGTAAGACTTGACTTGACTTGGGACTTCAAGATTAAATAACTTGGTTTCCCAGGCTTCCTTTGTCTAGATGTTAATTTTCAACAGTTGTTCCCTGCCTAATCTAATGTTATTATAAACAATTAAAGCCTATTTATGTTTAGATGTCTTTCTATTTGTGGGTTAGCCTACTTGGGTTTTTCCCAGGATCAAGTGTAATATAATTTTTTGTACGCACAATACAAATATATCCATAGAGAACATTTTTGTGCTTTTAAGCTCAATTTTTACCAACTTTATCTGTTATTGAATTATCCTATTTTGCATTCGAATTCAATTCAGTTTATTTCTATAGCTCCAATTCACAATACGTCATCTCAAGGCAGTTCATAGGTCACCAGATCATAAAGTCAAATTGATTAAAAGTTTTCTATCTAAGGAAAACCAGTTGATTGCATCGACTCATTGACTTGAATGCATCCCTCACACTAAGCATGCTTGTAATGACAGTGAGGAGGAAAAACTCCCTTTTAAACAGGAAGAAACCTCCAGCAGGAAGAAATATTGATTCATTCGCCCTTTAAAGTCATCATTACAATTTGGTCAATATGCACCATATTTTCCACTGCTGCACTTTACAGAATGGAAACTTTCTGAAAGCTGCGCCAAACGAAATTTCATTTGTATACACTCTAGTATAAAAAATACAAATAAACATTGTCTATGTCTAATCATTGGTTGCAATCCTGCATATCTCTTGTACAGTTTTAGTGTCGTTTGGTTTTCTATTCTCTTGTTATATAGTATTTCTAAATTAAAGAATGTGCTTATGTAACCAGCTGGCAAAGACACAGTTCTGTTGTTTAGCCTTTATTTGGGATTTATTTGAAAAAGCTTCCTATATTCTTTGTGTAGCCCTATCCTATTCACTGTCACAAGCATCTTTCCTATCAGGTGGACCAAATAAAAGTCGAGGAAGCATCACAGGAAATATAAATGACATTGAGTTTGGCATCTCCCTCCTAAATGCCACCATCACTGAGAACAACTCTGGCAGCAAAACCATCAAAGCTACTGTTTCAAATGTACCAAGAACATTGGGTCAGTTTTGAATACACACTTTTCAGCTATAGGAAATAAACCCTCTTTAGCTTTGGTTGTAAAACTGAAATTGTAACATTTAAATTCAAGGTCCTGCAATGAGGAAACTCATCTCCATACTTAACCCCATCTACTGGACCACGGCACAGGAAATAGGAGAGGCTGTTAATGGTTACACCCTGACAGGTGGGATTTTCAGGCGAGAGACCCAGGTGGAGTTTGCTACAGGTAGGCTCTGATGATGGTCAAGCTTCCAAATTATTACTCTCTAAAATAAATGTAGCTGGGCCGCCCTTAAAGTTTAGTTTAACTTTATTCTGCAAGGTGAAATTCTGAGGATGACCCACATTGCTAGAGGCTTGGACTCCGATGGTGCTTTGCTTCTGGACATTGTGGTTAATGGTCATATCCTGCAGCTGCCTTCACATGTGGACATCAACATCAAGGTAAGTGTGAATAAAGGCTTGATGAAGAATTATTTAGAGGAAAATGTACAGTATGGTGGCAGTAATGAGTTTAAAGGAGAGTAGAGGAAGTAGTGGCGTAGTTTGGTCACATCTTCCTTTGGTCCGCAAACTGTGCTCAACAGCCAACTTAGTGGTGAGAAGTGGCGTTCAGCTCCTTTAAGAAAATTCCAAGACTGGTTTAAAGTCCTTGGGAAATCATATTTAAAAGTCAAATCATCCTGATTTAAATATAAATGTACTCTTTATCACACGATATTGTTCCAAAATTTAGAAAATTTCTATTTTTAGAAAAAATCCTGTCTTAAAATCTGTGTTTTTTTTCAGTTATTTTATGCAAGCCAATCATATGTCAACTGTCATCTGTCAATCAAATTTTTTATGTCATAGCATATTGATTAATACGTCGCAGCTAATATACGCAACGGTTGAAATAAGAAATAAGTATAATTTACTTTACCATTGAGTTCCATGCCAGTGTTCACGTGGATGGACGTCTGTGTCTTAGGCAGGCGTAGAGCTAACAGAACTGGAAGCATTACGAGGCAAGGGCTCACACATGTAAGCCTCTGCCGCCCTGGCGTCCTCTTCCACAACATCTTCGTCCTCACTTTCCTACTCTAAGGATTAGAAGACTCACCCACCACCTCCTACAATAAACCC